GACGCTGGCCGACGACTATGACCGACGACTGATGACGACGACGACGACTACGACGACGACGACGACGACTTGACGAAGACGCTGACCGACGACTGACGACGACGACGACGACGACGATGACGTCGACGACGACGACGACGACGACGACGGACGACGACCACGACGACGGGCGAGCGGGCGCATTGACGGACGGGCGGACGAACGGCCGTCGACGACGACGAACACGACGACGACGACGAACGAGGGCGGCAGCGACGGGCGAGGGCGACGGCGGGCCCCTCCTGGACGGGCGCCTGCGCGCGACCCCGCTCAGACTTCCTGGCGAGGCCGCTGGGGGAGCTGAGTGGGCGGCGACAAAGGGGCAAATGGGGGGGCATCGGAGGCCGCAGAGGAGGGGCCCTGGAGGGCCTGCAAAGTGGGCCCCCGAAGACCCTCCGAGGGGGCCCTCTCGGGCCCCAGAGGGGGCCCCGGGGGCCCGCAAAGCGCACATTCATTGGGGACCTTGGCGGCCCTTTCGGGCCCAAGAGGGGGCCTTGGGGGGCACCAATTTATTGCCCCCATTTTAGTTCGCGCCCAAGTCCAGCGAGTCGCCGTGGTTCGGGCGCGGCGCGCGCTGGCACCGGGCGTTGCTAGAAGTGGTCCTGGCCAAAAGTGCTCCCAGCTTTTCGAGCCATCTTGGGGCCGCCGGGGCCGTCTGGGCCTCGTGCATGAGGGGTGCTCTGGAAGCCATCTGCGCCTCCCTCGGAAAGCTGGGACGCCTCGAGCCAGGGCCACTTCCAACGCCGCCCGACGGCGGCGCGACATTCACTCCGAGGTCTCAGGGTGGAGATGTACCGATGCTGCTGCGCATAAGGGGGGGAAAGGTGGATGGGGGAGGAGGAGTAGGAGGAGGAGGAGGAGGAGGAGGAGGAGGCGGAGGAGGAAGAGGAGGAGGAGGAGAAGGCGGAGGATAGCCATGCCCGCCTCGAGTGGTTGTGGCAGCGAGCCGACCTCCAAAGGGGAGGACAGCCGCGACCTCATCCTTGCATTGCCGACCCCGCGCAGCCATTCCCCCTCACTTCACTTTCCTAATGTCCCAATGTTTCTTCAACTTTCGTCGCGTCTTGTCGACCTTGCGACGGCGTCACAGCAGCTCAACAAATCCAGAACTCGTCGATAACGCGGTCGCAGGACTCGTATTCTTCGGTCGCACAAGAATGCGCGCGTTCTCATATATCTGTTGACACGAAATTGGCTTCAAAGTTAATCTGGCTCATCGCGCGGCTTGGCATTTGAAGAGCGCATTCATATGTGCGACGGCCTTTATTGCTGTATGCCAAACAATGCATTATTTGCTTTCACATCCATTACTGCCGCCGCCTCAAAATACCCCCATAATTCACGAAAGCCTGGAGTATTCAACACAAGCATCACAAACAGCCAGTAGTGAATTTAATTGGGAAGCGTTTCCGTGCGAAACAATCCGACTGCATCACTAACATAGAATATGTGGTCACTTAACTTAAAATCTTGTTCACGCTCCGCCCAGCGGAGCTGGTGTTAGCTGTCTCGAGTCCACAGGACCTCCCGGTTCGCGCGGAAGAAAGTGCGCCTCGTGTTGCTTCCAAAGAGCACTCTTAGCACAAGGCCGACAATGCTCCGCCGAATGGAACAGCGCGTGGGATCAACATTGTATTCGGGCACCCCCTCGGCGAGCACCAGACTTCGACCCGGACTCCTCACGGTCCAGGGCTCCGCCCTGCAGATGTTCTCACAGGCGCTTCTGGTCTTTCAGCGCGCCCTGCGGCTCTGGACGCGGGGATTGCGGCCCCTGCGGCACGCGGTGCCGTCACGGATTGGTGCGAGGCAGTGCGTTGTCGCAAGGTCGATCGGCTCGCGCCTTCCGCGCGCGAGTCGGCCGCGGCGGGCGTCCATTGCCGACCCAAGACGCTCAGTTGCTCTGGGCGCCCGCATCCGCGGGCCGAGCAGCTCGTTCCGAATCTGGCTCGGCGCGTGGCCCGGCGCCAGTGCGCCGAAGCGCACGTGGATCACCGAGCGCGTTCCACTACCCGCAGAGTGCCTACTCGCAAACGTCCGAAAAGCACATGTCCGCTGTGATGTTATGTATCGTAGATCCTCCGCGCGGGTCCAGGCCATTTGCGAGTAGCTACTTTGCGAGTAGTGGAGCGTGCTTGTCCAGTGGAGGGGCGCCGTATTTCGTATCGGTGCTTCGCCGACATTTGGAGGCGATCTGCGCGAAGGATCCGGTGCTGCCTGCCCAGCCGCGCCCAGGAGGTCGCCGATGAGGCCGATGCCCATCACGACCCAGACGTGGGGTTCGGGCGCGGGCACCCCGGCGGCGTCGGCCCGTCACTTGCTGGGTCGGCGCCCGTGGCCGCGCCCTCGGGTTCGCCGAGCGCGCCGCCTCGGTGAGGCCGCGGCGCCAGGACAGCTTGTGCCGGGCCCTGAGCTCCCACCGTTTCGGCCTCCCTCCCTTTCCTCCTCGTCCCCCTTTCCTTCCTACGCTAAGTGCACGGATTTCCTTCTGTACGGCCTGCGGGCCCGTGCGGGCCCGCCAGCGCGGGACCCCTCCGCCGCGCAGCACGTGCATAAGGTAATCTTCTGCTTTCCCACTTTCGGGAGACTGGCCCAGCGAGCCCAGCCAATGAGGCGGCTGTGCCTCGTCGCGGCGGGGCCGTGGCTGCGTGACGGCCTCCCCGTTTGGGGGGGTCGGCCTGTGCTGGTGGCTGCAGGACCGTTGCGTCGGGGATCCTGAGCCCCCATGTTTCTTGGCATCGTTCGGACGTGTGCATTTTTCCTTCGGCGAGGACCACCGAGGAGCATCCTTGGTCAGTTGGCGAAAAAACCACGCACGAAACCTACAAAAAAAACACAGGGAATGGACGTCCGAGCGATGGCCAGTTTTTGCTTGCCTGCACACCGGGTGTCCTTGAAGACCGGTGCGTTTCATTTGGCCAGCCGGGCACTCCAGGCGTGGCATTGTTTTCTTGGTCTCGATCTTCCCCCTCCCTCCCTTTCGTCCTCCTTCTCCTCGTTCTGGCCAGGTCTCACGATCTTTTGTTTCGACGAGTGTTCCTTGCTCACTTTTCCCCGTTCCTTTCCTTCGTTTCTCCCGCTCCTTGCCTCCCCAGGCGGGCGCGCGCGCCCAACGGTGGGGGTCGGTGGCTCAGGCCGCCGGTTCCTCCCCCCTCCTCCTCCCCCTCTCTTCCTCTCCGGGGTCTTCCCCTTGATCGTCAGGCGTCCTTGCCCGCGCTGGGCGTTTCAACGCCCCTCCCCCTGGCTTTTGGCCAGGGCCGCGGGGCCGGGCAGGTGGTGCAAAGCCTGACCAGTGCATTCTGGGATCGTGGGTGATAGCCCTGGGCTCCTTGACATCCCCGAACTCCCCCCCCCAGGTTTCGGACTGTTTTATGCTCGCCGTCGGCGTGCAGCGTCGTCGTGCGGTTTCGTCGTGCCATCGCGCCCCCCCCCGGCCCTGCCCCACCCCTCCCTGGCCTCCCCGGTGAATATGGCACCTGGCCCCCCGGTCTCGTTCCCAGGCCTGCCTTGGCCGCCCCTGGCCCCCCCCCCCTTATCCGCGGCTTCGGATTGCTTGATTTTCGTCGACGCAGTCGTGCCGTCGTGTCGTGCCGCCACGTCGCGTCGTCGTGTCGTCGTGGCCTGCCCAGGCCCCCTTCTTGGCCAGGCCTCCCCCATAGCTCTCACCCGGCGCTTCGGATTCTCATGCTGCCGTCGTCGGCCGCGGACCTCCTTGACTCCCATGCGCCTGGCCCCCGCGCTTCTCCTTTTCTGCGCCTCTCCCTCGTGCGAGGGCCAGGGCATGCGTGCCACTTGCCTTGATGGCCCCCCGAACCCCCCCTTCCTCGCACCGCCTCGCCTGGCCCGCGCCTCCCCTCCTGCAAGCAGCCAGAGGATGCGCGCTGCTTGTGCCAGCCCTCTCCCTCGTCCTCGTCCATCCTGGCTCTCTGCTGCGCGGCGAACAGGCGCCAGCACCGCCCGTGGAGGAGGTACCATGGACATCGTCGGCAGGGGGACGAGGAGGAGGAGGAGGAGGAGGAGGAGGAGGAGGAAAAGGGGGAGCAGGAGGAGCAGGAGGAGGAGGAGGAGGAGGAGGAGGTGGAAGGGTAGTACTGATCGCCGGCGGTGCAGCCAATAAGTCGCCTCGCGGGCTGGGATCAGCTCGGGACGGAGAAGAGCACGGTGTGGAGGAGGGGGTGCACCGCGCCCCGAGACTCGAGTCCAGCGCGGCCCCCCGCAGGGGGGCCGAAGCCCCGGTAGACCCCCCGGGGCCCGCGCGCCAAGGGTATCGAACATCCATGGCCAGCCCTCCAGGCTCTCCTGCTGGGGGGGGAGCGGGCTCAGACCGCGGCGAGGGGGCATGTAGGACTGTAGTGGGCAGAGGAGGAGTGGAGGGGGCGGCGGAGGATTCAGAGCAGGAGGAAGAGGAGGATTGGGAGAGGAGGGGGAGGAGGAGGCGGAGGAGGAGGAGGCGGAGGAGGAGGAGGAGGAGGAGGAGGAGGAGGATTGGGAGGAGTAATAGTTTTAGGTGGAGTTTCTGTCAGTGGTGGAAGAAGATATCGGGTGGAATAGCGATTGAGTAAATCATTCTAGGAGCGGGATTCAAAAAACGATTGACTATGCTGAGCAACGCAATTAACGTTCACAGTCATGCGCCTATTCTGAGAATTCTGCTATGTCCTCTGGCGGGGCATGCTCTGGCCTTATCAGTGATCAGCAGGATGGAGTTTTAGGATTAGGAGAAGAGGAGAGGACGCAGCGTGAGGATCATGCCGAGAGGTCACTGGTTACCTTTTGGAGCCCTGCTGCTTCAGATCGCGTCGCAACCTTGCCACGCCCTTTCCCTCCACGGCCTCGCTGAGGTTGCTGTCTCGGGACCTCCAACACCCGGTCGCACAGACTCGGGTCTTTCGCATTTGTGCTGCGCGCCCTCAGAACGCCGTCCTACAAGCCGTCGAGGATCGTCGCCGCCTCCCGCTCCAGAGGACCGCGAGCCTTATGGACGGCCTCGACAGGGACCTGTCGATCGACCCCGACAGCGAGCACTGGCACACGCCAGGGCCAGCAGAACAGCTTCTCCGCGAGGCCTGGCGCGACACCCAGCACCAGGCCTGGCGGAAGTCAGGCCGGCGCGACGACGCCAGCCCAGGCCTGCCACACCAGGTCTCCAACGACCGCGTCGAGGCCACGGTGGACCTCGCCAGGGAAAAGCTGCGGAGGTCGCGGCGACACTTCGCAGGGGCCGTCGTCTCCCCGGCGGCGGCCGCCGCAGCAGCCGCGGCTTCGGGGTGGTGAGGAGGCGCCCCTCCTTCCCCCGTGCCCCTTCTGCGGCCAGGAGCACGGGACCCTTGAGCACGTGATGTGGAGGTGCCATCTCCAGTTCGCGCCGTCCACCCGCCGGGCGGGCCCGGCGACGGACGCGCTGCAGGCCCGGCTCTTCTGGCCCACGGGGATCGAGCAGAGGGCCGGCCTGGACCGGGCCAGTTGGAACTACGGCATGATGATGGACCGCGTCATCCTGCGCGCAAGGCACAACGGCGTCACCCCTGAAGAGGCGATCGCCAGCTACCACACCACATGGCCCCGGGCCCCAGGATCCTCGCACATCGATCCGGCTCGGAACGACGGCACGATGATGGTCCAGGTCATCATGCGCACAAGGCACGACGGCGTCACCTCTGGTGAGGACCACGTCATCCTGTGCACTAGGCACAACGGCGTCACCCCCGAGGAGGTGAGCGACAGCTACCACAAAACACTGCACAACGGCGTCACCCCAGAGGAGGTGATCGACAGCCACGACACCACATGGCACAGGGCCCCAGGATCCTCACAGGTCGATCGGGCTCGAGACAGTCTTGGGCACGCGCCGGCCTGAGGGCTGGCACATCGTGCCGGGATCAGCCAGACGACTCGGCATGCCAACAGTCTATCCTGACGGCCTTCATGCTGGATGCGCGCGGCCCTTGTTTTCCACTTCGCCATGCTCCACGCTTGGGCGCACTTCACGCTGGGGCACTTCGCCCCTACCGTCGGCACTGCGCACGGCACGTCTTGGGCCTTCCCCCCTTCGCCTCGCGGCCGCGACTGCAGCAGCGTCGCAGCTGCCCAGCGTGCTCCTCTCCGGCCCCGGCGCCGAGGATCATCGCGCCCCCCCGAGGGCCTCGGCCACTCCGACGTTCGTGCCGTCCGTCGCCTCAGGGCTGGACCTAAACGGTGTTTTTTTGTGATTTCGTGGGCCGTTTCGGTTTCGACTTCGTTTCGTGGTAAAGGCGGATTCGAGACTTAATAGCGAGGGAAAACGGTAACAAAACGAACACGAAACACACCGTTTAAATTCAGCCTTGCGGCACCTCCTGCCCGAGAGCCGACCCAGCGCGCACACCGGCGCGCCGCCATCGACGTGCGGGAACGGGGCGGCGCTCTCCGTCCGTCTCTCCTCGCGCTCTCCCATCGCTCGGCTCCTCGGGCCCGGTGCCTCCCAAAGGGGGTCCGAGCCCAGGGGGGTCGGAGGACTGCGCCGCACCGCCGATGCGTCGGCGATGCGGGTCGCGACGTAGATTTCAGTCGGGCGTGTCCCCCTGCAGGGGGATTTACGACGAAAAATAAGCAATACGCAAAAAATGCTCCAACATGGTCAAGAATAATGAGAAAATAGTCCCCAGGCTATTCTTCGACTGTTTTTGAACATTCCCCCTGTAGAGGGACAGGCCCGACTTAAACGTAGATCTATTACTTTGTTTTGTTCCGCGCCGGCGTCGCCGATGCACCGCCGAGGTGCATCGGCGATGCGGCGCGACCCTCCGACCACGCCTGCGCGAGCCCGCAGCGGGGAGCCCGCAGCGACTCTCGGCCTCCCAGCGCGGGCAGGGGCGGGTGACGGGCGACGGGCACCTGCGGGGGCGCCGGGCGCGAGCGCTGCCGCCCGGCGGTGGAGCCGAGCCCCCCGCGGTCGGGCGAGCGGCACGGTGCGGCGCGCAGCCAGCCCGCGCCTCTCGTGGCGAGCGCGAGCGTGTGGACAGCGGTGGCGGTGGGAGTCTCGGGCACGGCTGTGCACACACCCTCACCGCCCACCGAACCACCCCGATCCCAACCCGAAGGCCTCAATCTGCCCTCCATTTCTAGTGGGGGGGGGGTCGGGGAACATCGAAAACATACATGGAACCCGTACCCCCCCCAACCCGAAATTCTGGTCAAATTTGGGTATTGGGTTGGTTTGGGGTGGTCTGGTAGGTAGTCACACACTTGAGCGACGCAGGAAAACGGGCCCAACCGCGCCGACTTTCGCGCGCAAGGTTTCCGCGTGAGGTTGCTCCCCAGGAGGCTCCGTTCAGGAGGGAAAAAAGCACACAGACATAATTGATCGTCGACTACCAGAAACATATTCGATCATGTGGGAGGTGGGGGGGAAGACGAACATCCAAAATATATGGAACAAATATGGGGGATCCTGTTAATTGTGTCTATTTGTTTGTGTGCCTCTGGGCCCCTTTATCCGTTCCCCTCCGGGGCCCCCCCCGCTCTCAGACCTCCTCCTCTTCGCGGCCCCGCCCGAACCTCCGCCGCCTCTTCGCCTCGGCCCCTCGGCCCTCGTCCCGCCCCTCCCCCCCAACCTGTCGCCTCCCCCCCTCGCACCCGCCGCGCCACGCCTCCCCCCCCCTGCCTCTTGCACCTCGCTCCCCCCCCCCCTTTCCTCCTCTTCCCCTCCCCCCCCCCTGCCTCTTGCACCTCGCTCCCCCCCCCCCCTTTCCTCCTCTTACCCTCCCCCCTCCCTCCCCTGCCCTCTTCCCTTCTCCATATCCCCCACCCTCGTATATATGACCTGGCGCAGGGCGTAAGGCTTTCTCATCGCGCTGGATGTTGAATCTAGGCAGGTCTGGCAGTCATGCGGGTGGAGGGCCGCCTTAAGTTGTAAGTGTTGTTCTCGCGCTAGTGTGTTGCGATTCGTCTTCCACGTTTTAGACATTTGCACGGGGCGATCCGCTTCCAATGTATATGTCTCGTACTAGAGCCGCGCACATCCTACTCAGCATCGTGCAGCGGTTGCACACACAGAGGGCAGGTCCTGTTCGAGATGTGCCTCTCGCCGGAGTCGCCCTCAGATCTCATGCCGAGCAGATTTCTGCAACAGTCATGCGGATGGGCGGCAGCTCTGCGTACCCAGGTCGGGCCGCTGCGTGCGGCTCGAGCGGGGCCCTCGCCTGCACGCCAGGCCCACGGGGGCCGCCCGGCTTTCCTGGGGGGCGCCTCCCGCCGTGAGCCAGGAGCGTTTTCCCAGGGGCCCGCGAAGTGCGAGACTGGTGACGGGAGTCATCGAGCATAAGAGAACCCCCAAACCTTGAGAACACGTTGAGGCCGCAGCCTCACTCGGGTCCCCGTGCTTGAGCCAGGGATCATCAACCCGGGCGGTTTGACTCGATACGCCTGCAGAGCAGACCCCCCTTCTCCCTAAATGTCTGGGCCTGACTCAGTTCCGCTCCCAAAGGGTCAGGGGCCATTGTCTTGCTAATGGGCGAAGGGGGCATCGCGCCCTCAGCCCGGGCCGACGCTGGGCAGGACCAGAGTCGGGCAGCAACCGCGCCAGGACCACACGAGCGCAACAGCTTAAACGACAGGCGATGGTTGTCATCCGCCGAGAGCGCTGAGCAGTGGTTGCGACGTGAGTCCGCCTACGTGTCACAGCTTGGAGGCCACGGCCTTCACGCAATGCCCACATGGCGACGGGCGGGACACCCAGAGGAGCGCGCATGATTCTGGCGCTCGCTTCGCTTTGCTTCGCTTCCCTCCCTTCCCTCCCTCGCTCCCCCTCCCCCCGACCAGCGACGCTGGGGGAGCCTGGTACCCCCGACTACGGCTCCGTGCGGCCGCCGGAGCCCGCGGAGACCCAGAATACCGCGCCGCAGAAGAGGGCTGTGATCCATTACCAGGCTCGTGTGAGGGAGGAGGAGGCGGAAGTGGAGGAGACGGATGCTGAGGAGGGGGATGGGGAGGGGCAGCAGAAGGAGGAGGAGGAGGAGCAGGAGGAGGAGGAGGAGGAGAAGGAGCTGGAGGTTGAGCTGGAGCAGGAGCAGGCGGAGGCCGCAGTGACCCTTGGGGTCGTGCTTCAGAGGAGGAAGGCGAGCAGCACGGAGGAGGAGGGGTGGCGGCATGGGGGATAGGGAGGAGGAGTGGGGTGGGGCCATAGCTCGGCACGCCCTGGTGACGGGTGCGCCAGCACGGGCGCGCGGGCAACAGGGACCAGAAACAGTTGCGGCGGCCGCCGCGCATCAGTAGCGGGGACTGCTGGCAGCGGCACGGTGCTTTGGCACAGAATGTCGTGGCTCACCACGCCACCATGTGCGAATGTCCTGGCTTGATGGCATACCGTCGCTGGCATCGCTTCGACACTGTGAGGGTATGGGACACGAGGGCAGGAGGGAGAGCGGCCCGCGGAAAGGGCATACGACACAGACACGCACACACAATACCACACACGACCTACTTGCTCAAACGTGTGCATCGCCCTCCTCCAAGGGGCAGGAACTGCTCGAACGCTTTCACGTATGATGTGTAGCTATGGTATCATTGTCGGGCACAGTCTAAAGGCTCACAACTCTGGCGCCTCCGAAGGCTTCCTTCTTGCGTCTACAGCGAACTATATTCCGAACCTCTGCCAGCGAGTGGGGAAAGGGTCTCGGTCGGCTCTGGTCCCGAAGCCTCCGCGCCCACTCCGCATCCGCCTACTCGGCGCTGCTCTTGCGCGTGCCCTTGCTGGAGGGCGGTCGAACATTCAGGAGGCAAGCATGGCCCGGCGAGTTCCCCCTCGATCTCGCACATCCTGGGGAACTGTTCCTCTGAAAGCCCGGTGGCGTTCGGCGCGTTGGCTCTGCCCTTGCCTCGGACAGCAGTCTTGGGAGCGGCACAGCGACTAGCAACCAAACCATGCAATAACTTCCCAGTCTGAAGCATATCCCTATCCCTATTGTCGGCATCGCCTTGTCTCGATGCCGATCTTACGGATTCCCTCAGCTTCTGAGGACGCATCCTCACGATTGTCATCGCCTTTTTTGGCTTAGTGATCTTAGGGATAGGGATGCTTTCGAGGCTGGTTACGAACGGGCCTGCACCTTTCAGCAACCGCTTGTATTCGCCTACCTTTTCCCTTGGTCCTTGTCATTGTCATGGCCACCTCGCGGATGAGTACACGACGAGGCCCCAGCAGCACGAGGGCGAGGAACAGAAACACGGGCACAGGGACAGCTACGGAGGCGCGGGTGCTTTACGGCAGGGTGGCGAGTGCTTGGTAGTTTCCAGAATTGTTAAAGCTATTGATGGAAACAAAGCCCTACAATAGTGCCCCCGTGCGAATTATCGTCGATCATTCTCACAACTTCTGTCACGAATGAGCCCAACAACATCTGGAGATTTCGTGTTTCGGAAGTGTCTTTATACATGTCAGCCCGGCCTGTTGCAGGGGCAGCCCCAGCACGAGCATGCATACCCTCTGCATTACGACGTGGGCTTTGTTGCGCTGGGCTCGCGCGCGGTGGCCTCGCATATCTTCCATGATCCTATTGCGAACTTCGCCGTTGTGAGCCAGCGGATAGCCAGTGGCAAGTTTACAAGGCTACCCCTGCATCCTTCCTTGCCCCTGGGGCCAATCCTTGACGACTTTCGCTGGACAGCCCCGTTCGAAAACGCCATCATGGCTCTCCAAGGCCCATGCATCCTCACCGCGCATCCCTATGATGCGACTTGAATGTATTGTTACTTCGGAAACTCCGATCGTGCGCTTGTGACCACGGCGCACAGCGGAATCCACGTGAATGAATGTCATCGCGCAGCCAAGGAGAACGCAAGAATTCTATGAAGCGCAGCCTCTCGCATGGCTCCATGAGCGAGCGCTAATAACACGAGCTTGATCTTTATCTTGGTCTGGTCTGCGCTGGGGCCGACCTTCACATGCGTGAGTCTGCCCGCGTGCGCCGTGCGCCTGACGACCAATCCCGCCCACTCGCTGCAGCATCGGCATCGCGGCGCGAACGAGGGGCGGGACAGACCGACAGTGACTCACATCGTTTTTGGTGAAGGTTCTGCTTCCCTCTGCCTCCCCCTCCTTCCCCCCCCACTGCATCGTGCCCCCCTCAGGAGCAGGCCAGAGATCTCGTCTCCAAGTTCCTGAGGGACCTGCCAGGGCTTCTCCTGCCCTGGTTCCTGTTCTCGGTGGTCTTGCTGTCTCTCGCCCTGCCCACGGACTTCCAGGGGCGGCTGCGCCGCAACGAGACCGCCGGGCCGCCCTCCCCAAAGGAGTAAAAGAGGAGCGGGAGGAGGAGGAAAGGAGGATGGATGGATGATAGATGGATATATGGATGGATGGATGGATGGATGGATGGATGGATGGATGGATGGATGGATGGATGGATAGAGGAGCAGGTGGAGGCGGCATCAGCAGTCGCAAAACACCAAGCGAATCCGTGTGAGGGAGACAGGTACGACCACTCCCGCCTGACCGCTCGCGGCCACCGTTCCGCGGTGGTGGGGCGCTTCTGGTGGTGCCGGGTGAGAGAACTACTCCTTCGGAGACGCCGCAGACTGCTGCCGGAAGGCCTCACCCGCGCTTGTGTCGGGAGCCTCGAGACGGGGGTCAGTGCAGACGGGGGTCAGCCAGGGCGCCGGATCCTGCAGGATCCTGCGAAGGCCCCCTCTGGCTGACCCGGGTCAGGGAGCCGCTCGTGGCCGCGAGGCGGCCGCGCGTATTGGCTGACCCGGGTTTGCGAGGACCTGCGTTGCAGTTTTTTTTTCCTGCATTGCAGTTTTTGGTTTCCTGCTGACCCGGGTCTGGATTGACCCGGGTCAGAAGATCCCCGATTGTGCGAGACATCACGAGCCAGGGTCCAGTATGATGGCCAGTCCGAACAAATGCTTGGCCAGGGTTGGCGGGGAGGCTTGGCCGGGGCTGACACGGAGGGTTTGCCATGGCAATTTTTCGATAGATATGTCCTTCCATGACATGTGGTCCCAGACATGCGATGTTCTGACCTGTTCAATGCGGGGTCCCTGGAAGTCCCAACCTTTTCCTCAGTGCCAGTTTTTGTTTTTATCCCGAGTCGTTTTTTGACCGCCCCGGGTCCCAGTGATGGCCCCCGGAGGCCGAAAACTACTACAGAACATCACGTCCTGATTTTTGTCGAGGCGCGAGCCTGTCTGAGGATCTGGAACTGGATCCTGCAGTGTTCGTCCTGTGCCGGGGAACTGGACCCTGCAATGTTCGTCCTCTGCTGGGCGCTGATGGGGACAGGGTGAGGAGGGGACGGCCGCGCGACGTCCGCAGCCCTAAGTGGGAACCAGCGGTCCACAGCTCGAAGCTCGAAGCTCGAAGGAGGAGGAGTACCGGCCTTGGTGGGGGGAGGAAAGCAGGAGGGAGGAAGGAGGAGGGAAAGGAGGATGGAGGAGGCAGGATTACAGAGGGGGTTTTTCGCATGTCTTTCACTTTCTGGCGCCTCCAGGTGGGCCATCATCGCCCGGGGTGGACTCGCCTCGAAGTCCTGGTCAGAGCGCTCCCCGCTCCTCAGCCGGGTCCGCGGATCCGCTTCGAGGAGAACGAGGGACAGAAAAGCACGGCGACGCGAAACACTGACTGGCACTTGCTGGCGCTGCCCCCTGTGGGCCTGGTCTGGAAGCACGAGCCGCGACGAGAGGCCCTTCCCAGAGATGGTGTGCAGAGCTCGGGGGGGGAGGAGGAGGAGGAGGAGGAGGAGGAGGAGGAGGAGGAGGAGGAGGAGGAGGAGGAGGAGGAGAAGCAGGAGGAGGAGGAGGAGGAGGAGGAGGAGGAGGAGGAGGAGGATGAGGAGGAGGAGGAGGAGGAGGAGGGGGGGGGTCCCACGGCGGAGGGGGACGTGCTCTCTGAGTGGGAGCGAGGCGCAGAGTTCTCCTCGGTGAGCCGGCCCCGAGGCGCAGCTTGGAGCTGGAGACGCTTCGGCTGGACGTGAGGGTGACCTCTCGCCGGAGGGACCTTTGGAGCGGGTCAAAGGCGACGATAGGGGCGAATAGCCCAGGGTGGAGCAATACATGTATCCAGGGGCGCCGATGATTTATGTCTTCGACAAGGCTACCGGGCGAATACGTGTAATTGTCCGCCCATGGGCTATCCGCCGAGTGGGGTCCTCCGATCGCTGAATGCGATGCGACAGTGGCGTCTTGCGCGCTTGGGTTTGGCCCCCCCCGCGGCCCCCATAAAGCCGCGCACGAAAGGCCACTCTTACCCAGGGTCACTCTTGCGCGCAGTCGAACTGTCACGAGAGAACGGTGGGGGGCAGGATTAGGAGATGGCCCAGGCTGGAGCTGCACGGGAGGGGGGGAGGAGGAAGGAGGCGGGAGGCGGAGGGTCCCGAAGGAGGTCGTGGGGGGAGCAATGGGGATACGGTACGGGATGAGGGAGGAGGACGTGCGAGAGCGGTGGGGGGCAGAATCAACAGATGGCCCAGGCGGGAGCTGGATTCAGGCGATCGCAAGCATGGATCAAGGGGGCGTGGATTAGCGACGGGTCCCGTTTCCATGGGAAATGTCGCGGATTTCCGCCGCCGAGCGAGGCGGCACCGGCCGCTTTTTGGGGAGGACACCTCCCCCGATTGGATTTGGCGACCGCGCGCCAAATCCATGGATCACTAATCCATGAGTGCGCGCTCCCGAGAGGGGGGAGGAGGAAGGAGGCGGGAGGTGGAGGGTCCCAGAGGAGGTCGTGGAGGGGAGCAATGGGGATACGATACGGGATGAGGGAGGAGGACGTGCGACGGGAGAAAGAGATGATTCATGCCACAATGATGATGATGATGATGATGATGATGATGATGAGGAGGAGGAGGATGAGGAGGATGAGGATGAGGATGAGGATGAGGATGAGGATGCGGATCAGGATGAGGATGAGGATGAGGATGAGGATGAGGATGAGGATGAGGATGGTGATGCTGCTGCTGATGATGATGATGAGGATGAGGATGAGGATGATAATGATGATGATGATGATGATGATGATGATGATGATGATGATGATGATGATGATGATGATGATGATGATGATGATGATGATGATGATAATGTGATGCTGAGGATGATAATGATGATGATGATGATGGTGATGGTGATGGTGATGATGCTGATAATGATGACGATGGTGATGGTGATGGTGATGGTGATGGTGATGGTGATGGTGATGATGATGAGGAGGAGGAGGAGGAGGAGGAGGAGAGGTACGTAGGCCGAGGGGGATGAGGATGATAATGATCATAACGTCGAGGAGGGGGATGAGGAGATGTGGGAGGGTGGTTGCGGTGATGTTGATGGTGATGGTAATTGTGATGGTGATGCTTCTGATGAGGAGGATGATGATGAGGATGATAATGATGATGGTAGTGTTAGTGATTATGCTGATGGTGAGGATGGTGATGTCGATGCTTGTTGTGGTGTCGATCATGTTGGTGGTGATGACGATGCCGATATTGATGCAGATGGTGATGATGCCGATTATGGTGACGTTCATTCCGATCAGGATAATTATGATGCTATGATGTTGACGGTTGTGGTGATGATGGCGAGGCTGATGATGAGGATGATGATTCTAGTGTTGATGGTCGGGGTTGTGATCATGATGTTGATGATGAGGATGATGACGATGATGGTTGTGGTGGTGCAGACAATGTGGTTGTGATAATGACGATGGCGATGTTGACGATGATTATGATGATGATGGTGATGATGATGATGATGATGGTGATGCTGATCTTCATCATGCTTGTGATGGTGATGATGATGACGATGATGCTGCTGTTGATGATGATGATGGTGGTGGTGGTTCTGATGCTGATGCCGATGATGATGATGACAATGATAATGATACTGATGATGAGGATGATGCTGGTGGTGATGATGATGCTGATGATGATGCTGCTGCTGCTGATGATGATGATGATGATGATACTGATGATGATGATCATGATGATCATGATGATTATGTTGATTCGGATGATCATGACGATTAGGATGCTGATGATCATGATGCTGCGGATGTTGCTGATGGTGATGCCGATTCTGACGAGGAGGAATGCTCGCAGAGAAAGAGGATAATCATGCGGAGGAGCGGACGTTCAGAGACGAGGGTTAGAAGGAGTGACTAGGAGGATGTGGCGGAGAATAAGTTTGATCAGTTAGCGACTGGTTTTGAGGAGGACTAGGTGGATGATCATGATGACGATGATGATGACGAGGAGGAATCGGAGATTGAGAAGGAGGAGGGTGAGGACCAGGATGATGAGGAGGAATGAAGGAGTGGAGAAGCGGTGGTGGGAATCAACATGAGGGAAGAGGAGAACGGGGGGGAAGGGGACGAAGGGAGAAGATGGTGAAGGGGACGACGAGGAAGAGGCTATTGGGAAGGCCTTTACGGCCGGTGCCGCCGACCTTGAAGGGGAACAACGACCACGGCGGCGTTGGCGGCGACGACGACGCTGACGTGGGGCAGAGTCCTCAGTGATGCTTCGTGAGGCCTCTTCGGAGTGCGCTCGTAGGCCTCTGTGGGGCAGTTTTGGGGCCTCTTGGGAGCATCTTGGGGGTCTCTTGGAAGCCTCTTGGGGGCCTCCTGGGAGCCTCTTGGGGGTCCCTTCGAGCTTCCTGGGGCCTCTCTTGGGGGCTCCTGGGAGCTTCTCGGGGCCGAGGGCTCGAAATGTTCGTTCGGGCTCCCGTGTGGGGGCCCTCTTTGAGCCGTTTTGGTGGCCTCTTAGGCCGTGTGGGAGGCCTCTAGGGCTGTCTTGGGGCCCTCTTGGGTCGGTTTTGGTTCCGATCTTGATGGCATCTTGGGCCGTCGTGGGGCGTCGGAAAGCCGAACAGGCGAGAACGCCAGAATCTTTCAAAAACCCTGGATAAAATCATGCCACTTTGCCTATTGGGGCCCTGTCAGTAGGCCATCTTCGGCGTCTTGGATCGATGGTTCGGCGATTTGGAGCCCTCTTGGACGGTCTTGGGGGCCTCTTCGGCTGTCTTGGGTTTTTTGGGGTCCCATGACCCCGTAGGGGAGCATGGCGCTAGTATTCTCACCCGGGACCCCCCTGGGATCCCCACCAGGGCCCACCCGCAGGACGCCCCTCCCATTCGCGTCCCCCCCGGGGGGAAGGGATCAAAGGGAAGGGGCTTCCCCGCGACTCAGCTACGACGTTACTCAGTTTCACTTCGGTTTCGCCTTGGCTTGCTGGCTCGCTTGAGAAGGAATGCCCAGAGAAAGGGGGGGAGCGGCGACGGGCCC